ATAGCACTAATCCGTCGATTTGGTTCTGTACTCTGAGTAGCTTCTGAGTAGGTATAACACTCAAATACATCAACGGTCTCTGCAACTGCGAAAGCAAATCCCACAAGATTCGTATATCCAAGAAGATTCCCATCAACTATGTTTGCAAACCTTTGCGGTCGGTTGATCACTCTCTTCTCTCTGCATGTTGCAATGCTATATGGTTGTTGTTGCGTAGGTGCATAAACATTATCATCTTGATCAATATTTTGCACCTCCTCCACTTCCTCTACTTTAGAATTACTGGGTTGAGCTATTGGAGATTCAATTTCTAGCTCTATGCGGTCATTGACACCACGATCTGTTTCTGCTATTGCCTTCTCCCTCTGACTGTCCAGTGAGGCAGATTCATTGAATGTTACATCCCTACTGATAATTAGCCCTGGAGTCTTTTGATCTGTGCACCACAACCTATAACCTTTCACTCCAGTTGCATACCCTAGAAATATGCACTTCTTTGCCCTCGGCTCAAGCTTTCCATCCCTCACATGAGCATAAGCCGGACAACCAAATATCCTTAAATTTGAATAATCAGCAGACGAACCGACCATACCTCAAAAGGAGTTTTGAACTCAATAGTTGTGGATGGAGATCTATTGACCAAATAACAAGCTGAAATGATTGCTTCAGCCCAAAAATCTTTGCTAACACATGAGTGTGAAATCATGTTTTGTGCCCTATCACAAAGTGTTCTATTGATACGTTCTGCAATACCATTTTGTTGTGGTGTTCCGACACAAGTGCGGTGTCTCACTATGCCCTCCCTGCTGCAGAAATTATCGAACTCAGAATTGCAAAATTCCAACCCATTGTCAGTTCGAAGACGCTTAACTTTTCTTTCCGTTTGCCTCTCAACCATCGTCTTCCAATTAACAAATGTCGAAAATGCCTCATCTTTTGTTTTCAAAAAATACACCCACACCATCCTTGAGTAATCATCAATCAAAGTCATAAAATACCTAGCACCACTCTTGGAGGGAACTCTGTTTGGACCCCACAAGTCAGAGTGTATATAATCTAACTTGTCTCTGGTCTTGTGCTCGGCCTTCTTGATGAACTTTACCCTTGTCTGTTTACCAAACACACAATGCTCACAAAAATTTAAAACTTGATTTTTGTACCCATTCAGCAAATTCTGCTTATTCAACAAAGACAATCCATTATCACTCATATGGCCAAGTCGCAAGTGCCACAATTGAGACTGATTCAGATCACTTTTCCTAGAAGCTACAACAGCTTCCCCTTCAACTACACTGCCCTGAAGATGATACAATTTAGAATGTGATTACCCTTCATGAGTACCATGGAGCCTTTACACACTTTAAGTATTCCATTCTCGGGGTGAAATTTATACCCTTGATCATCCAAAGTCGAAAGAGAAATCAAATTTCTCTTTATCCAAGGAACATGCCAACACTCAATGTTTCTGATAATTCCGTCGAACATTCTCAATTTGATGTTACCAACCCCCTCTACTGGTAATGGATTATCATCTCCCATATAAACAGTCCCACTCATTTGTTTGTAAGTTGCAAACCAATTCTTGTGTGGACACATGTGGAAAGTAGCACCAGAATCAAGAACCCAAGAATTTTGCCCATGACTAGAACTCACAGCACAAACTTCCCCTACATAGTCGCTATCATCATAATTATTGCCAGTGTCAACAATATTTGCCGAATTATCTATTTTCTGCTTCCCTCTTTTCTCTTTCAACTTAGGACAATCTCTCTTGTAGTGACCTTGCTCCCCGCACTCATAACAATGTTGCTTCCTTGCTCTAGACTTTGATCTTGCGGTTGACTTTTTCCTGTTAATGTCCTTTTGTTGTGTTCTTCCTCTAATCACAAGACCCTCGCCCTCAATTCTGCTGTCTGGAAAGCTCTTTTTCAACTCTTTAGATTTTAGTGCATTACTAACATCTTCTAGTGAAATGCTGTCTTTCCCATATAGCAGTGTATCGACAAAAGTATCATAAGACTGTGGTAAAGAACATAACACAATCAAGGCCTGATCCTCACTCTCAATTTTGATATCCACATTCTTCAGGTCCATTATAATTGAATTAAACTCATCAAGGTGAGTTTTAACAGGTGTACCTTCATTCATACGGAGATTGTATAACCTCTTTTTCAGGTAGAGGCGGTTTGTCAGCGATTTCTTAGAATACAGATCTTCCAACTTCTTCCATGCCGTTGCTGCAGAAGTTTCTTCAGCAATTTCCCGTAGGATGCTATCTGTAACACTCATGAAGATCGCACTCAAAGCCCTCTCCTTCAGGTCTGCCTTCTTTGTCTCCTTCATCTCTTCAGGAAAATCCTCATCAATTGCTTTCCATAGTCCTTGTAACACTAGGGACGATTTCATCATAATCTTCCATAGACTGAAACTAGAACCCCCGTCAAATTTCTCTATTTCGTACTTTGTTGAAGATGATGAAGACATCTTAACCATAGATTATATGTAGAAACCCGAACCTTGCTCTGATACCAATTGTTGTGGAATATCGTGGGTTAACTAGCACACAATCATCACACAGAAGAAAAATCAACACAAGGATTTAACGAGGTTCGGCTAAGCCTAATCCTCGGGGCAAAAGCAGAGAGAGTTTTTCACTATGAATGAGAAGAAAAGCACAATACAATCTTTAGAATCCCCAACTACAACCCCTATATATTGATCCCAAAAGGTCCCAAACATATAAGAGAAAGGTTTCCCAATTTGACAAGGACTATAGGTTTTCCTTTTCCAAATCTATTAGGACAATGGATTTTCCTAAACCTATAGGGATTATGAATTTCGTAAAAATACAAGGAATTAATTCAAGCCACAAATAACAGCTTTGTTAGGAATCTTCCTTAAAAATCTATATGCGTGCACAGCTACATCTGTAGCTAAATTTTGGTTTTTTAAAGATCTAAAAATTACGATTGTTTATATTATTCATATAAGGAATGATTTAATAACAAAAATTATAGTTGATTTCAACATCCTAAATTTTAGAAAAAATAATCAAATTACTATTTTGTCTATTGTGAACTCTATTTTTAAAGGATAAAAAAGGCGAACGACATTTCGCTAAGGACCTTCGTGCTTTTAATATAGTACTAGTCTCTACGTTCGTGCGATGCACGAATATTTTATGTCAAATATTAAGGGATACATATAAAGAATAATAAATTTTTAATTGAATATGTACGACGTTTAATATGTATGAAGTTCAATAATTAGTTCCTTAAAATAAAAAAAGAATATGATGTAAAATCCAAACCAACTCATTGATAATGTTTTGACACAATGAACAGATACTATAGGACTAAATATTAAGGAGTCATACAATTATGCAATTAAAGTTATAAAATCACTTAAGAAATACAATTCTTAATATTATTTTTCTGAATCAATGATTTTCTTTGATTTAGTGAAGCTTCAATGATTCAGATACATGAAAATCATATTTATCAAGATACATTATTTACAAAGAACCAAAGATAGAAAGTCATTTAGCCATTCGTACCTTCTTTGGCATTACTATTTCTAGTGTGTTGCATGTTATCCTACGTCAATTATACAAAAATTAAATTAAGAAAACATAAATTCATATCTATACAAATATTCAAAAGAAAATTGTTGACGCTAGGATATAATTTAACTCAAATCCTGATCAATCCATTCATTAGTTAAAAAGCACGTCAATTTTCCATGTTTCATCCGTGAGTTTAGTTGCTCGCGCAAATCTAAAGCTCCACCAAACTTGAAGTTTCATGAATGCAATAAAATAGCTTCAAGCTGTTTTGCTGTCAAATTTAAATTACTAAAGTTAAGTTAACAACAAAATCAATACATGACAGGGAAGGGGAGAACATAAATCAGTTAAAAAATATTGTCACTTTAACCAATCTCCCATTCTACTAAAAAAATTGTTTACCAAATTCAAAAAGGCGGTGCATTTAAAATATATGGTGATGTTCACTGTAAAAAAAAAGCAACAACATGAAACTATGTAAGCATATGTTAAAGACTTAAAGTGTGTATGGTATAAAAGGAGAACGTAATTACTACGGAAAAAATAGGATTCAGAAAAATGTTAGGGATATATTGATATCCTTTAATAAAAAAGGTCAAGCTTTTAAAATCTTGTGGCATGAGTTATATAATGAGCTTTTTATATGGAGCAGCCATTATGTAGCAAACATATTTAGATGGACGAAATTGTGTGGTTGTGTACCAATACGATTCAAACTTATAACAGGAAGTTTCTTTTTATTCCATATAACTTCTGTTTTGGAAGACTTTTCGAACAAGAGTCAGAATGGATATTGTCTTAGTCAACGAGAAAATCCAATTTGATTTCAAACTCCTAGCATTAGGTTGAACCAAAAGTATAATATAATTTTGTCCAATATGGAGTTACATATCTAAAAGAATAATTTTACTTTTAAAGGCATAAAAGTTGATCAATATTTTGGGGATATTTTCGTCAACCAACATTTAGCATTTTAACATTCGTGTTTTTATAATAGTATAGATAGATAGATATAGATAAATAGATATATATAGATATAGATAGATTAGTATTAAGTGAATAGACTTTTAATTTAAACAAGGCTCAGGCTCGGCACACAAATTTAAATCAATCTTTTAACTTAAGAACTGAGTATTATTTTATTATTTGTTACTTGCTAATTATTACTAATAATAATATTAGTTAATAATTCGAACCTTCAACCTCAATTTAGGTTGAGGTGCTTGACCAGCGAACAAAGAAATGTTGCCTAACAATTATTTTGTTCATTTTTCTCGTTTTCAAACACATTAATTCCATTTCTCTCTTCTTCTTTTTTCTTGTTTATTAGAATTGCAATTGTTGGGCTTAAAAGTTGTAGCATTTAGTGGAATATTTCACGTGTCACCTACTACACTGTCGATAATATACGTATTATTTATTCAGACCCAAAATAAAAGATATTATTTATTGCTCTATACAATGTGTGACGCGGAGATTTAGTTCTGCCTAAAGCTTCTGTTGGTAGCGCCCCCCGAACACACACACACACACACACACAGTCGCCAGGTATGTTGACCCTTTTCTTTTCTTCTTCTACCCTTTGATTTTGGGGATTTGCTGAATCGCTATGTATGTCTATTATTCTACTTCTATTACCTGTTTGATGAAATGCCAATAGAGTGCTAATGTCAAGTGTTCTTCAAAATTTTAACTAAATAAATGTTGCTTTTAGTGATGAATCTATTGGGTGTTTGTTGGAAAGTTATTATTCAAATTGATTAGCTTATTTATCTAATTTGAATGATTTCTGTCCAATTATGTTTTTGGGTTTTTTTTCTCAATTTGTGCTGCTTTTTTTGTATGAGATACTTTTGAGATTCAAATGCTAACCAGTGGCTTGTTTTAATTAGCTTATTTTTCTAGTCTGATTTATTCCTTTCCAATTATGTTTTGGGGATTTCTCAATTGTGCTGATCTTTCAAGGATACTTTTGAGGTTCCAATGCTAAATAAATGGCTTGTTTTGATTGCAGATTTCTTGATGCTTTGACCCCATTAATTAAACAAATAGTATTTAGGAACTTATAGTGTCTTTCCCCAGCAAATTACATATAATAGAAGAAAGGGAGAGGAAGTATAAGGAATTAGAGGATGTTGGCTAAAACCCTCCCATTTTCTTCCCCAATCTCAAAAGCCTCCAATTTTCCAGATTCCAACAGTCTCATTTTCCCAAAATATGTTCCACTCATCAAATCCAATAAAAAAACTATTAGCAACCCTTTTCAGGCCTCATGTCTTAAGACTTCCTTGGAGTCGATTGTTGCACCTGAAATCCAATCTTTCCCTGCAGCCACCCGAGTGAAAATCCTTTCGGAAGCATTACCGTTTATTCAGAAATTTCGCGGGAAGACCATTGTGGTGAAATATGGAGGGGCTGCCATGAAATCTGAGGCTCTTCAGGCCTCTGTTATTGCTGATCTTGTCCTTCTTTCCTGTGTTGGTATGCGCATTGTCTTTGTTCATGGTGGCGGTCCTGAAATCAACCAATGGCTTGGTAAATTGGGAATCAAACCCAACTTTTTGAATGGCCTTCGTGTTACTGATGCCTCGACCATGGAGATTGTCTCGATGGTCTTGGTTGGTAAAGTCAACAAACATTTGGTTTCCTTGATTAACAAGGCTGGGGCAACTGCAGTGGGGTTATCAGGGATTGATGGCCACCTGCTAACTGCACGTCCCTCCCCGAACGCTGATCAACTAGGTTTTGTTGGGGACATTGCTAGTGTGGACCCTAGTGTACTGCGGCCTCTCATTGACAATTACCATATCCCAGTGATCGCCTCTGTTGCAGCTGACAAGACGGGTCAATCCTACAATATCAATGCAGACACGGCAGCAGGTGAGTTAGCAGCAGCTCTTGGAGCTGAAAAGCTAATCTTGCTGACAGATGTGGCGGGAATTCTGGAGGACCGTAATGATCCAGGGAGTTTGGTGAAGCAGATTGACATAAAAGGAGTGAAGAAGATGACTGATGATGGCAAGGTTGCTGGTGGGATGATCCCTAAGGTGAATTGTTGCGTCAGGTCTTTGGCTCAAGGGGTGACGACTGCAAGTATTATTGATGGAAGGCTTCAACATTCCTTACTCCTTGAGATTCTCACCGATGAAGGGGCTGGAACAATGATTACTGGCTAGAAAGCTATTGCGAATTGAGCAGCTTTTTTATGAAGTTTCAAATGGTTTAGAAAGATAGGTTTTTCAAAGCTCTAGACCTTTATGGTACTTTCTTATCCATGTGTTGTCACTCTGCCACAAAATTTTGGTAGACAGACTGAAGCATTTGTCTGGGTTTCTGTTGTATTATGTTGGTAATGGTCCATCCTAATGGTTTTTCTTGTATGAATAAAGATTAAGTGGGTATTACTTGCATGTTGGCTTTGTGAAAGTTAGTTATTTCGTGTGTTCGTATATTGAGAAAATCCTGCACCCTCACTCCAACTCCCATTTTTGGTGTGCTCTTGTACTGAAAAAGTCCTGCATCCTCATTCCAATTCTCCTCCTTCCCCACCCCCACCCTCACCCAAAAAAAGGAGACAGAAATACTAGAAAAAAGATAGCTTATCCTGAAGAAGAAGAGAAACCAGAAAAATAATGAGTAAAGCCATAACATTCATCAAGATAAATGTGAATGATAAACTGATGATTGAAACTTTGAATGGATATTTCCGCCTGAAGGCATTATTTTCTTCAATATTCCACTAGGAGAACCATCTTTTTCCTCAATCACAGTTCACATCATAAACTTTTGTAGTTGGGGAAGTCATTGGCCAAGCAGCATGTAATTTACTCATTGTAACTCTTTATCGACCTGATACCAAATCATAATAATGGTAAATAAACCACCATTATTTTCTTTTTATTCTGGCGATCTTTATGCATCAGGGGAAATTAATGATTTGGCTGTAAACAAAATATTCAGATGTTATTAGTGCTTGATGTAATTATTAAGTAGTAACCTTGTCCTGTTTTGTTATATTTGGATCTTATACCATTATGACTGTTTTTCTGTACAAAGGTTTATTTGTTTACATAGTATTTCAGACTTTCAGTCCTTATCATTGTAGAAAGTCTCTGATTTGGTTTCTCGGGCAGTACACAGCTTTGAGTTGCTATCATATACACATGGATGAATTTTGTGTCAAGTCACCATACGAGGGGCCTCTTGCTGGAGCATTAATGGTTAGCTTGCCTTAAACTTAAAGTGCTGTTCTGTACAAGGTGGACAACATCTGTGCACAGTTCTTTCACATCTGGAATGCTCATACTTTTGTTATGTGCTTCACTCTCTTTCAACATTTCACTGACTAAAGATATAATAAGTCAGTTTTGAGATGAAAGAGACACCATACTACACATTATTGTGACATTTTTGTCGCTTTGTAAATGCTAATTGGTGACCTTATTCAGGGACATTGATGCCAGAAGTCCAGCTCATCATGTTTTCAAGATATAGGGGGTCTAATGGTTTCTCCGGTTACTGGATTGATCATCCTAATTTCTTAGGGTATACATGCACAAGTGTTTGACGATCCTAATTTTCTGGGTTATATGCTTTAGTGTTTTTGACGAATGGTGTTAAGTACAATTAGATTGGCTTTTCCAAGGATCATTTTTTTGAGTTAAATTGAACTTGCTGTGTTATTAATTGTTTTGCATGTTTGTACTATTAATCTTACTTTCTGGTCTGTTCTGTGCTAACTTAAATTCTGGGTTTATTCTTACTTCCATGACATCAAAGTGTTTTTTGGACATATTTTTATAGATCTCTTTGGCTGTATCGTCTTACCTCCAAATAGGCCTAATCTTGGTTTTGATAGGCATGGAATTTCATTTTTGATGTTCACTTGGATCTGAATTTGGTCATGTGGTTTAACAGCCATCCTTTTTGCAGGCTCACTTGTTGGTATAATGTATATGCTACTTGATTCTTTATGTTCATATCTAACTGGGAAAAACAAAGAAATTCGCAGTTCATGAATCAGCAAGAGACCACACATGAAATGAAAAGACTTAACCACCAGAACTACATAAGGCTGACCCTTGAGATTGAGGCCTTATTCAGTCTAGTTTGATGAGGAATGCATTATTTTTACATGTATAGATTAGTGAATCCAGCAGCATGGTTCGACATGTCTGCTTAATTCAATTAAATTGCAGACATATGACATGCATTGAATTAGTATTTTCTTCATAGAATGTTAAAAGCACCAGTTAGTTGAACAAAATGTAACATTCTTTTCCAAAAATCCCATTGGCATCCTATTTAAAATAATGGCCCAACACATGCTTTTGATGGTGCAATATACGTTGGACAATACTTGTGCAACGTATCCTTAACCTAAAATTGAAGCATCACTGCATCAGTCCACATTTAGTTTCCATCTGAAATCTTCTTCATTCCATTGCCTTCTAGCTTCTCTATTCATTGATTGTCTTCAGTTTGCTTTTATGTCTTCCCCTCTCTATCATTCCTCTTTCATCTTCGTTCCTTTGTAGTTTTCTTTCTCTGTATTTTAAGATGGAAAGAGTATTTAGTGAGCACTTGGTAAAGAAACCCTGAAGAGGCGAACAATTAGGCAAAGCACTTCCACCATGTTGTCTTGTTCTTCATCCGATTTCATCATCTTTCTCCTAATTGCAACCACGCACTTCAAAACTCTTCGCCCTATGAAGAGACGCTCATTTATTGGGATCTTGCTATGGAATTATTGATAAGAGATCCTGGATCAAGTGTGAGATAGAAGAGTTTCTCAGATAAGCGTGATATTTCATAAAGCATGGTTGTATTTGGTATTTCTGTTTCTACTTCAGATATGGAGTATGTATTTAGATTTATTGTTCTTCCATGCAATTGATAAGACAAGAGGGGTTGTTCTGATGGTAAGCAACCTCCACTTCCAACCAAGAGGTTGTGAGTTCGAGTCTCCCCAAGAGCAAGGTGGGAAGTTCTTGGAGGGAAGGATGCCGAGGGTCTATTTGGAAACAGCCTCTCTACCCCAGGGTAGGGGTAAGGTCTGCGTACACACTACCCTCCCCAGACCCCACTAAGTGGGATTATACTGGGTTGTTGTCGTTCTTCCATGCAATTGATATGGAGATAAAGGAAGTAGATGAATCAAGTTTCCTCAAATTTTATGAGTTGTATAATTAGATTTTGGAGCCAGTGCACAATATGAATCTATGTTGCGCGGACTCTCCAAAATGGCACCGCACCCGTGTCGGATCCTCCAAAAATGCACTATTTTTGAAGGATCCGACACGCACCCACTGACATTTTTGGAGAGTCCGAGCAACATAGATATGAATGTTGCAACTGAAATGCATATTGGTTGCTCTAAAAGTGCAATACTGAATTTGATCTTTTATTTGACTTTTTTTTCTTGACATTGTTGTATTTCCATGTTTGTGATACTGTTTGCATCTCTTCTTTTCCATTTTGCTCACTCGTTTTAGAATTTGCTAATAATCTTCCACAATCTGGAGGTGCTGTTTCTCTTAGAAAAATTGGTATTTGCCCTGTAAAGGTAACTTATTGTCTACTTATCTTACACAATATCGATCACAGACACCCGCCCTGAGTCCATTCATAAAGGATTTAATCTGCTTTTCTATGAGTTCATGTTTGATTATATGCTTCCTTGGATAATTGTATGTTGTGACTGCAAATCTTTGGAACTGTTATACCTGTGGATTATATGCTTCCTTGGATAATTGTATAGTCTTATAGTTATCATGCAGCTTATCATGTGAAAATGTTAGAAGAATATGTGAACTATGATTTTCTGAGACAACATATTGTTTAGGGTAAAGCATTCCTCATGGATCCAGATCCTCTTTGATGTTGGGTAGAGATGATCATATTATTCATACATATCAAATGTCATGAATTGCTACTTTGGATTATGGAACCGACGCAAAAATAGTGAGATTAATCACCTTATCAAAAATTTGAGATTCATCAAATCCTTAGATGATTCTCTTTATAGATATATGGCTATACATATTGAGAATGAGCAGTATTCTCATATCAGATGAGGTTGTTCAAGTTGCACTTCTGGCTTTACATTGATAGAGAATCATTCCACGAGTGATGGAAAAAAACAGAATTATTTGTAGTACTGCAAGTTAGGGGAGATAGTAGTTAAAAGGTAAAAGGTTCCATGTGAATAGCTGTTACTGAATCAAAAATTAATGTAGAAACAAGTATAAAACATTGATAGAACATGCAATTAACAGTTAGTGACTGCTTCCTGCATTGTCACACTAGCAAGAAGGTCCAGGTAATTGTTGCTTTGTTGTACTCTATGTTGATGCAGAATTGCTATCTTCTCTGTTTGCAAGTTGCTGTATTCAAATTTATATAGGCGGAGAGAAATAAGAAAAGCAAAAAACATGAAGATAGCCATTATCTTTTACCTTTGTTGGAATAAGAAAATCCTTATATAACTCTTAGATAAACTTGGTTATCAGATCATGCCAAATAACAGCCTGTTTTGCTATTTTGGCAGCCATTAAACGGTTGACAAAGGCAATGTACTGGAAGTTCTTTCAATTACCACGGTCATGGGAACTTTTGGCCAACTACATGGTGTATTTGGGTGGAAATTACCTACCTGGTAAATTAACTCTTGCTTAGGGTTCAGCACTTTCTATACATCCTATCCAGTAACCTGTAACCTAGATTTGTTGCTTCCTGGCAAGTATTCAACTGAATATAATCTTCCGAAAGAATCTGCTGTGTATCTGCTTAAGTTGACAGCAAAATACATAAATAAGAGTCTACTGCAAATTCTCTTCTGATTGGGTGATCTGTACTGCAACTATCTCTTCATCTTTGATCTTTGTTCCTAAATAATTTCTTCCGGTGAGGTAATCATCTTGACTTTAGGCAGTTCAGATTAGTGATGAGATTTCTATTTGCAAAATGAGATTTTGTCAGGAGATGGTGCCCCAAGGTCATAGAAGTACCCTATCTTACATCATCAGAGATGCATGCTTTTTGTTGTCTTTGTAATTTCATTGTATTGTTGCCTGCCACTAGTCTATCTGGTGTTCCTGTGTATTGATTAAGACAGGGCGGCTTGCAAGGATCATTCAAGTTATAAAGATGGTGATCAATGCTTTAGCTGCTTTTGCAATGATTTGGATATGGTATGTGACTGGAGCTGCAACTTATTCAACACCTTGATGATGAGACCTTAAACTTGTTATCTTTCAATTCTAATATTGCATGTTAAAAGATTTTTATTTGAGCTCATTCTCCTATGGCCATCGTTGGGGTTATATGTATGCTGATTGCTGGGTGATCAGTGCTTTAGCTGCTTGTATACTGCTTGTAGTATGTTGTGTTTGCATTTTTAACTGTCGGTCTTTCACCAACTTATGATTCATGGCTGAAATGTAGAGATCTGGCTTTATGGCTTTTAAACAATTTTGCATGATTACCTTCTCTTTTTCATTGATTGACTGACTGTTCTCTGAAAGAGATTGCACAAAGCTGTCCTGGATTACGCGCTATTGACCTGAGCAACTTGCGTAAATTGACAGACTTTGCAATCGGTTATCTTGTCACTGGTTGTAGAACAGTTGACAAGCTAAAACTCTCACAATGCTTTCAGGTTTTCAAAATACATCATTCAATACAGAATGCTTTCGAAGTGTAGCATATGTAGTGTCCTTAACCATAATCTTTTGCTTGCAATATTCGTCATCATTTTCTATTGCTTTTTACTCTTTTCTTCAATGTCGGTTGCTTATGCCTTGAGAGCAAATTTTTCAAAGAATATCACCATACATTGCTACAAAGGAGGGTTGTTTCTTCGCATAAAAAGTTCTTCATTTTGAATATTGAAAAGATGTTTCAAAATGCTTGGTTTCAAATTTCCTTCTAATATTCCTTTTGGGGAGTGGTTGGCTGCCCAGAATCATCTAGGTAGATAGTGCATACATTTTCTTTTGTATTTTACTTTTATTTTGCAAGTAAAAATAGCATATCCAATTTGCGGAGATATAACAGTCTTTTATGCTTATAGGAGTGGGTGCATACGGCACATTGTAATTTGTATATATAAGGAAAGTCTCATTCTGTCAGATTATATGAGCTGGATTTGACATCTATGTTGCTCGGACCCTCCGAAAATATTGATGGGTGCGTGTCAGATCCTCCAAAAATTAGTGTATTTTTGGAGGATCCGACACGGGTGCGGCAGCTGTTTTGGAGAGTCGGCACAACATATTGACATAGCTCACACTTAACTCCTTTGATGAAATTTCTACCTTCATCGAGCATGTATGTATCCTTTCCACCTTTACATGAACATGTATTTGAGTATGTCCATACATGAGATCTTAGCTCTTTGTAGTTGGCACACGCCATTTCACCTACTCCTTAGCTTCATTTGTAAAATAAGTATTTGGATTTGTTAGAAATCGGAGAAAAGGAAATATCAGACGAAGAATAGGAATTGGCGGGGAAATGATTTTGCAGTGTCTGTTTTTCAACTTTTCTGGCTTTCTATGTATTTACTCTCATATGATTCCTGAGTTGTCTTCCATGCTTGAAGGCGTATAACAGTAGTTTCAAGCTACATATAGGATCCTCTCAGTAGCATTCTTGAAAAATGACAAAATAAGTGTTCCGTTTGAAGTCTTCGAATAGTGGTTTCAAGCTTCATATAGGATATTATCAGTATGCATTCTTCAAAAGGTGAAAAAGAGCTATCCTGTTTGATAGTATGTTCTGAATTCCTTGTACTCATAATAGTAAAATTGTGAGTGGCATAAGCTTACTCTTAATCTTTATCAATGGCAGTGATGAAGCTGTTGCTACCGGAAGAAATTTCACTCATTTTTGTGGTGCTGCACTGTTAGTAATGGGAACATGCAGATTTTCTTTGCTTTCACTTCTAGGCCTCTTGTTTGCTCTTCATGTTTTTCTGGGTACATGGGAATTTGATAATCGGAAAAGGTCAATGAATTTTTGCCTGACTATATGTCAAGGAATCAAAGTTTTTCAATGTCTTTATATGATTTTTACAAGTTTCACACAACACTGCAACGTGACGGGTAAAGTTGCTGCCATGTGACCAGAAGGTCACGGATTCGAGTCGTGGAAACAACCTCTGGCAGAAAATGCAAGGTAAGGCTGCGTACAATAGGCCCTTATGATCCGGCTCTTCTCCGAGCCCCGCGCATAACGGGAGCTTAGTGCACCGGGCTGCCCTTCACACAACACTGCAATGTCACTAGCCAAATGCTCAAAAAATTTGATTAGTCTGGATTTGTCTTGGTGCCGCAACTTGACAAACGAAGCGCTGTACTCAGGTATGCTCTGTTTAGTTTGGTAAATGAGAAACATACTTTGCTCACAACCCCAAAGTTTGCTTGACCATTAAAGGACACAGCTAATGTCCTACCTTTTTTCCTGTGCTTAGACTGCCAACAGGGATTGGTGAAAGGCACCTGCTCCTACCACAGAGTCGAAGACAAAGGCTGTCTTTCTCGATTATGCAGAAATATAGGAATTTCTTGTGCTTGTACAATTTGATTTTGTGTTGTGACTTTGAGTTCTTTCCTACACTCTAGGTTTCATCATAGGTCACCTTATCGAGATCCATGCATCTTAAGGTTTCATCCGAACTGAAGAAAAGGGCACAAAAATTTTGTTTCTTTGCCCTAGATTGACCCTAAAATCTGGAGAATAAAATCTAAATTACTGTGAAATATCAGTGTTATCAAAGGCGAAAAGCGCAAGAAAGCTTTAAGTTCTATTAGGACTTTAAGCGCAAAGTGCAAAATAAAGTGTGGGCTTTCATGAAGAAAGACGCAGATGGAGAAAAACTACAAATATGCATGTTTAGTCCAAGACTAATATCTATAAGCATGAATACCAAATATATGGACAAAGAAATTGAAAAAAATATTACGATAAAGTGAAATATCAATTGTTTAGTATCGTCTCTTCAGGATTATGCTCATTGGTAAGGAAAAGTATGTCTTGGAGCATTGATGACAACACTAAAACGCCCGCTAGGTGAGGTGAAGCGCTCAACATGTTTTGAGCCTCGCTTCAGGGATTAAGCGCGCTTTAAGTGCGCCTTTGATAACAATGTGAAACATCACAAAATGCGTGTGCTCTCAAGGTTCCTGTTGTTTCTTTTGCTACGGTTATTGTTGCTGCTTCCTTTTTAATATGTCCTTGAGCCGAGGGTCTATCAGAAACAGCCTCTTTACCTTCACAAGATAGGGGTAATGTCTGCTTACACACTATCCTCATCGGACCCCTCTTATGGGATTACATTGGGTTTGTTGTTGATGTTGTTGTTGTCATTCTAATAGAGGTTTCATAATACAGGTTATTTGTTAAAGTCAGTGGCTGAAAATGCAAATAGATATGAAACCATTTTTGGTGGTAGGCGGTGTTGTATTTGATTGTTCATCACTTAAGCTCAAATGCATAGGTATGGGAGGCATCATACTACCTCCTAAATGCTTCACTTTGCCTTAATAGTTTCCCTTTGTAGTAAAAGGGCTCTTCTGAGAGCTAAGATTTCCAATTGCAACTCAACTCTTCAACTTCTTAAGAATCTTATTTCAGCATGGCATGTTGTTTGCTCGAATTTTCAGGCAAGCGATCGACAATGGATGCAATTTTTTGACATACTGCTATCTGGTTTAATAATAATGACAACCCTTCGTGCATCTTTTGATAAAACTATCTTTTGCATAAAAACATTCATCTACGTCTGCTTATTCCAGGATCAGATAGGATCCAAGCCTATCTTTTATTATATCCAAGATTACACATATAATGAAAGATGTCACAACCTCACCTAGATAATTTCAAGCACACTTCATAATTTTTTTCAATTTCTTCCTTTAGTTATAACCAAAGTTTTCATAAAAATTTTGGGAATGAAAATGAAAAGAATGTGATAAGAGTTCCTTCTTTGTTTAGTTTTCTAGAAAATGTGATGATTGAGTAATTGACGAATTAGAGTAACAAACTGGAGATCCCAGGTTCGAATCCTAGCTACAATGTTCAGTGTGAACTTATTTGCTTCAATCTTGGCTAAGGTTTACCAACACCTCTGCTTGTGGGTTGTAAAAAGCTGCCGGTAGATTGGTCGAGTCGCACCAAGCAAGCATGAACACCATCATCACAAAGCAAAGAGGGGCTGGGTATTAGGGGGTGGATTGGAGAAATGAAATGCTATTAAGGCACGACCAATATCTAGAGAAAGTTTGAAAGAAGAAGAGCAATCTTATTACTGCAGCTCGTAACTTTCCTCACGTTGATAATAAGAAATGATATTCTTTCCTGCTATCTTATTTACTTCCTTTAACCAAACAACATATAAGTTGTTTTCTTTTTTATGTCCTTCAAATCCCCTCCTTTATATTAATTTCTTCATTATACATTTTCCATTCAACTTTCCCTTCTCTTTTTCCCCCATTTCAGGACAAAGCAAAAAGTGTAAGAATGAAGACTCAACACTAAATGGTTAAATGCATACAACAAAGAATTCAACATTTAACTACTTTGATAAGAAACTTTTATTCACACAAGATAGCACCAATATCCTTAAAACATGCTGATGCATAACAGGATACCTGTCCCTAGGCAACTGACATATAGTACTTAGAAACTCTTTCACTACGCGTACGCGTACACAAAACCTGAGAAAAGACTGGACACGCTAGAAATGAGATATCTACGGCACCTTCTAATGGTTCCAAGGTATGCATCTAGATGACTGGAGGATCATCAGATGACACCCCTTCTCAGGTGTGGTGGCTAGCCATATGCCAACTTGAAATGCCCCTTTGGGTAGAGACCAAAGGCATAAAGGCCAGAAGGAGATAGCCAAGAACTCTGTAAAGTGTGGAACCAAAGGATATGTCGGAGGTTGTTGTTGAGCTCCAACTTCAACAGCAGAAATCACAGCTGTAAGCATCCAGGCATGAAAACAACAATAAATTAGCCAAGTAAGAAGGATGGAATTTGGAGGACTGCTTAACTTACGTTATCGATAAAACAAGACTACTTAGACTTGAATTACTTTTCGTGAAAAAGTCTAAATTTGCCACTAAGCTATTGACTTATCGCTTAACTTTACCTACTTAAAAGTTGGCAACAAAAAATACTCTCATTGTCACCATTTTGTATCAAATAGCCCTTTTTTCTCTAGCTCAGCAAACAGAATCATCTTTTGCATTCATCATCGTCCACGTAGGGCACGTGAGTGACACGTGTCATAATAAAAACGAATGTTCGAGCCACTTCAGCCAAACAAAAAAAACCAAATGACCCCTATCTTTGAAAACATGTTAAATGACACAACTAAAGCTAATCAACAACTACTCAACTAGTTAAATTTTCTGAAACAACTTCCACTCCAGTCACTAACTTTTAAAAAGTTTAAGTGATTGTTTCACATCAAGTCACTTTAGAAGAAGGGTCATCCAAACAAGCCAACTAGGAAATCCTTTAGGGAGAAGCTAAGAGTTTCTTCTACCAATGACCTGTTAGATTTTTCTATCTTCATTAGTCTTTTCTCTATGGATTTGTCGTGTTTGTTTCTCACCATGAAAGAGATATATCCTTCTTAGCCCTCATTCCGTCTTAGTTGCCTTGTCAGTCATCTTGTTCACTAGAAGAAAAAACAGGAAAAAAGAAGATAAGGAAACTCATGAAGCTTTTCTGAAGTTCTAGCTTCAGTTTAACTGCCCTTTTCTTATGCTACCAAATTTGTGGGGCATATAAAACTAGAATCCAGATATAGAATTAAAACTTTATCATATAGTAAAAAGATTCTCCTCCAATTGGCCATGTTTGACAGCACCACGTAGGATAAAATACGACTGCTAGAACGGTCACAAAACGGAGATGAATTAGCAGACCACTAGGGCAATGCAAAACTAGTTCAGTGCAAAAGATGGCATCACTTGTTAATAGTGAAGTAGAATTTCTCATTGAATAACAGAATAATTAGGAATCTAATGTACAGTAACAAATTGGATGAAGGATAGTGCTACATATTGTTACACTAGCAAAATTCAAGCTATTATTTTCTTTAGTCAATACCGCTAGTACAATTTTGGCGTTCTCAACTTGCAAATGCAGCAATCCTTTTCGTATAGATATATAATAATAAGGTCAATGGGAAATGGATTGAGGAAAAGAAATGCATTAGATAGATGTTTCTCCCTGCAAATGTGGCAGGACATGTAAGAAGGCACCTTAATATCTTCAAGACAAGAAAAAGTTAGTTGACTTACAGGTAAGGTTGAACCTTCTGCAGCATCTTTTTTCCTAGAGATCAATTATTTGTGTTTGCATTCACTTCTTTGTTTTGGTTACAATTACCAGTTTATTCCAAATTGCAAACAAAGTTACACATAATATTATTGGAATACTGATCTTAATAAGACTCTGATATCATCCAGCTAGCCATGAAGATGTCCCTGTGCAATTTGTAACTGTTGATAGTTTTAGAAGATAAAAAATACCTTTTACAGGTTGGTGTAAGTTCCTCGGAATTGATTTCCATAGCATCTTGAACCCCTTAAACTCATGGAGAAACTGTCTAATGAAGAGATGGGAACCATATGATAAAAGAAGTTACTTCCACTCCTTTGGTAGGCTAACTTCTGTCTCTTCGTACATAGCAGTGTCCTACAGAGGCCCACAAGTAGGTAGTATCAAAGTAGGATTCATCTGATCAGAGCCTTCAGGGCATAATATAAGTCAATAAGCAGAAAACAGATATTAAAAGCACTCCTCTAGCTCACCCCATGATCCCCTAGCCAGAATTGAAGTACACAATGCTGCAAGATGTTCAGTTTTCGTGCTCAGCATCCAGAATGAGAACTTTTCTGCTGCATTCCAAGTCAAGATGTAGCCAACCTTCTTAAAGACAAGCAACCCTTTTTTAGTTTTGGAGAGTAATAACGGAAGAACAAGTTTCATATTGGATAAGGGGGCTTGTGTACCAACCTCTTTAAATGTGTCAGCAAACAACAGCTGTCAAAGATGTGAAGGAATTTCATTAACTCCATTTGATCAATTTGAATTTGTGCAAATCAGTTATTTGTCCTTTACTCAGATGGCAAGGAATGATACAGATTTTTGAGGCAGGAGAGTATACATTGTTTTGGAGACAAATGATACTGATGCTAGTACTACTGAAGGAATTTCCTCAATTCATATGATCAATTTGAAGATTTTGGAGAATCATTTATTTGTCCTCGGATGGCCAAAGATGAAAGATTTCATGCGGGAGTGTTTAGGTAGGTAGTTATTAGAATGTAAAACCTGACTGAATCATCTGTGAAAGAGAACTATGATGTACAACGATGCAGGTTGCTTTCTGAGAATGACACATTCACATGATTTGAAACTGACAGACTAGTGAATAGCCTAGAGTAATCAGCAGGAAAAAGACGCTGAGCTCATCAAGTTGACACAAAAAAAATTGAAATCCAAGTATAAACAGCGATAATTATATTGGTCCTTCTGCCTAGCAAGATATCCGAGTGTTTTTACTTCAAACAGAAGCTTTCATCCCCCGCTTCGCCTATCTTCAAAAAGCGATGTCGATAAAACTCTTTAAAAGAGATCCGCTTCTCTGCAGATATAGGAAGATCTATCAAACTTAAACGAAGTAGGAAGGCATTACAAATGATATTGGTTACAGGAATCTGCAGACCTGGGTCGATAGACAATAGTCTCGAGCATAAGTCAACAGAATCAGGGTGCAACTGAGGAATAATCAGCTCAGAGAAAGGAAGACACAGAGACGCCTTGATATTCTGTAGTATCTATATTAAAAACATAAAATAATTGATAAGTGGACTAACGAAGAGAGGGAGGCCTCTGCATTGAAGAAAATGCTGTTACCTGAACACTAGTCCTACCACGGAAAGGAGGGTAACCATTAAGTAGTTCAAACAGAATTGCACCAAGACTCCACATATCAACCTATTCAGAAGAATACGCATCAGCTTGTCTCATCTGTGTTATATAGTTGTATTAACTAGTTTCTTACCTTCGCATCATATTTTTGAAATTGAAGAATTTCTGGAGCCATGTAAAAAGGGGAACCACAAACGGTTTCTGCAAAGTCGTCCGGATTTAACATTCTACTCCAAGAATAAAAAGATAAAGAGATAGTTAATGATGCCAAGCATTTTAGCTTCCCTGTTTCAGAACTCCATATCAAGTTCCTTTACCTTGAGAGACCAAAATCGGCAATCTTAAGAATCGCGTCATTCTCCAAGCTAGATAAGAGAATGTTCTGAACCAGAAATGAACAAAAATTAGAACATTCCCAGACACAATAAAAATTAAATAAATGAGATGAACATTATATTTTGAGCATAAGTATTCAAAAGAGAACAAAATTCAATAAGAGAAAAATGACGATAGAAACTTGCACAAACAAAAAGATTACCAGGTAGGGAGGACTTGTGAGTCATGCGGCCTACTTGTAGATTTAATATGCGGTTGTCTAAATTCTGTAGGTTCTAAGTTAGTAAACCTTCTTCATTTCTTCTCGTATATATATATATATCACCATTTCTACTTCTCCTTTTGACACATTTTTTCCGACTTTATGCATTTTCATGCTTCCCGTTCCCTTCTTCAACATATCTCAAGAATTAGGCCCCAATTTTATCTCTCAAACTTCATTTCCCCTTTCGAGACCTTTCCCTAGGTTACACAGTTTTCTCCCTTCAATTTCCAAACCTAAAGTACACCTAGCATTTCTAAATTACATGTGCATCATAAACATTCAGCTCAAGGCGATGAAAGGGCTCTGAATATCAGCTCAAGACATTAATAGGAGTTTGAAATGCTAGTTGAAAAAAACACATTTCAGACAAATAATTTAGTGCAAAAAAGTGAAAAAGAAAAGCTAAAACTATTCAGCAACCTGATTCCAGCATGCATTTGGTGGACAGATTGGAAGGAAAGAAACTTTAGATGTTTTGAGGATACAAGTAATTCCATCCAGAGGATAAAATTGAATTGTATATTACTTTTCCTTTTTTGGTGTAGAGAGCTCTGTAAATGATTGTGAATCCATACTTGAAGTCATAGAAATCCCTGTAAGTTTTTTGTAGGGGATATCAAAAGTTTCTGTATCTATTCATCAGCACAATCATTGGAAAATATATATGAAACATGTTACCAGTTTCAAAGACTATTCAGCAACCTAAAAATAAGCTTGGTTCATTTGGAAAAGTGATTTAAGCATCAGGTTTTATCCACCTCCACGTGGGACTAGCTAAGCTCTAAGTGATAAGCAAAATTGCATAATGTTATATTGCAATAGCAAATCGAATCAAAGATGTATAAATATGTCTTGGGTGAAAAACAATCTGAGTATACTTCTAGTCCTAGGTGTTTTTCAAATTAGTTGATAACACTTCCGGTTTTAGCAGTGTGTATTGAAATGTATTTTGTTTATGAAGATTGAAGACACAAAAGCTTGTACCTCTGGCTTCAAGTCACGATGGATAATTCGGTGTGAGCTTAGTACCTCCAGACCAGCTCCTACAGTATTGCAATCAAAATGGCATTAGTTGTACAATGTGAAAGGACATCTTGGTATAAGAAAAAAAGCAGAAAAGGATTCTGAATGAAAATTTACCAATCTGTTTCATAAATTTTATAGTTACACATTCTCGAACTCTGCCATGATTTCTGATATAAGAAGCCAGATCTCCTCCAGCACAAAACTCCAAGACAAGGAAAATACAGTTTTCAGCCTGAGGGACAGATCAGTTGTCTCAAATTAAGAACTGAGGGAGAAGCACATCACTAGATTTTCAGATGGTTATGATTGCATCTTTTGGTCTGAAGCATGAAACTTATACAAAGATTATACTACACCTTCTGCCTAATGAGTATCAAACTTTGCAAGTTAAGCTTTTTAAGGCAAATGGACATAAACAAGCCATACACACATGTGAAGAAGAAATTCAAAGCTAAACCCTCCAAAACCCCGCGAATAAATTCTTGAGGGTCACAGCTTTTACTGTATCTAGTGCATAAATTATGAAGCACTACTTCATCTTACGACTAAAAGCTATGACACTATAATTTACAGCTGAAATCACATGCTCAGAGTGGATAATGACGCACAAAAGAAAGTAGAAAAGATCAAAGTTTTTCCTTGGCCAATCACATCTTTGGATATTATGCACCCAATTTAACTTTTCCACTTTCCTATCAACACCTTCCAGACATGCGAAAGCACCTTCTTTATAAAGGTTTTTAATTTCCAAATTAGAAGAGAGATGAAGAAAGACCACCATTTTTGGTCTGAGTTTATCTCTTCTTCTTTTTTTTTTCCACAAAAATTACCCATCCAGGCATCCACTATTGCTCATTAAAAGACCATAAAAGAAAGAGAATTCTAAGGGATCCAGTGAAATTTCTCAGCCAAATTGTTCCTAGCCGTTAACCCCTTGCTACCCAAATATCAATGCTTGAGCTTACTTGCTCAATTTGTCAGAATTAAGACAATTGTTCCATTATTATAATTTTGTTTTTGGGATAAATGAGAAATCAGTTGTTTCCATCTGGAGCCACCCCTTTAACCTTCTCCACATAAATACCAGACTTGATTCACCACCAAAATTCAAACATAGCTGTACTCATTTGCAGTTGAACTTTCATATATATATATATATATATGAACAATTCTATTCACATAAAATGTTACTTCAATCCAATTCCATTAAAATTGTGTAGAAAATCATAAAGCTATTTGGAATACTCAATTATAGATAACAAAAAAAAAAAAAAAAAAGGTAGCACAAACCTGAAATATATCGAAAAGGCGAATGATGTTAGGGTGATTAACAGAAGACAAGAAGGTGAGTTCACAGTCCAAGCAATTTTTGAGTTGGCGAGTGAGGTTGAGGAGGTTGATTTGCTTCAACGCCACCACTTTTCCGCTTGTACGGTGCTCCGCTTTCCACACCGTCGACGACGAGCCTCCGCCGAGCCTACACGTCAGCGTGTACTCTCCGACCGTCCGCTGATCAGCTTCCATTGTATTCTCTGTGTGTGTTTTTTTTTTAATTTTTTTAGCCAACTCTGTGTGTGTTTATTCTCTGGCTTTGGGAATTTTTTTTTTTAGAAGAGGTGCCGATGGTTTTTGGCCTTTTTTTTTTCTTTTGAAATCCACATCAAACAGTTTTCAAAATCATTTAAAGGAATAGAATTGAAATTCAAGTTTAAAAAGAGTTTATGGAATTGGGATTGTGTTTTGACATAGATTTTTCTTGAAAAGAAAAAGTAAAAATTTGTCAGAAAAAATTGATATTTTCCTTGAAATATACCTTTAAACTAGTGTTTTAAAAGGTAGAAGCGAGATCTTTAAAAAATTAAATTTTTAAATTAATAATATAACATTATAACAGGCAAAAATATAAAAGTTCATGAAAACGAGAAAGAACTAAAAACACTCATAGAAAATAAAATATCTAGCATGTTTTGCAAATATAAATAATATAGTATTTTTATAGTTACTATGAAATATAAATCAACTATAACATCTTAACTTTCAAATAATTAAAAAATCATAATTTCTTAAAGATATTATCAAACTGTACATTTTTCCTCCCAAAAAGTAAATACTCAATAAATTGTGTCAATGTTATAATTTTGTAATGAACAAGGTATAAAAGAATCAAACTGGTATATTATTCAGGTGTTAACTAAGGAAAGATATAAAAGAGATTCCTAGAAATCTGCTATCTATATATGGTTTATGTACACTACTAAGAAACAGTCTATGTTCATCGGGTAAAGTGTCTAGGTTCATTCTGTAACACTCCCCCTCAAGCTGGAGCATATATATTGATTATGCCCAGTTTGTTACAAAGGTAATCAACTCGAGTGCCATTCAATGCTTTAGTGAATAAATCAGCTAGCTGCTCTCCTGTCTTCACATAGCCAGTGAAAATCAAGTTATCCTAAATCTTCTCACTAATAAAATGACAGTCAACTTCAACATGTTTTGTTCTTTCATGATACACTGGATTTGCGGCAATATGGAGTGCAGCTTGATTATCACACCAGAGTTTTGATGGAGTAGGATGCTTTAACCCAATTTCAGTTAAAAGGTGATGTATCCACATTATCAAACATGTTGATTGTGCCACAGCTCTATACTCGGATTCCGCATTGGACCTAGATACAATATTTTGTTTCTTACTTCTCCATGACCAAGTTTCCACCAACAAATACACAGTAACCAGTAGTAGATCTTCTATTAATCTTGGATCCAGCACAATCTGTATCTGCAAAACAATCAATGCAAGAATGACTGTGATTGCTATATAATATGCCAAGTCCAGGAGCTCTTTTTAAGTAACATAGGATCTGCTCCAAAGCCTCCCAATGTTTAACTGTGGGCGTGGACATGAACTGGATAACCATGCTCACTGCAAAAGCAATATCTGGACGAGTCACAGTGAGATAATTTAATCTCCCAACAAACCTCATGTATCTATTTGGATCATTAAATGGATCGCCATCATCTTTCATAAGATGCAAATTAGGAACCATTGGAGTACTGCAAGGTTTGGCAGCCAGCTTACAGTTTCTGCTAGTAAGTCAAGAATATACTTTCTCTGAGATAGGAAAATCCCCTTCTTGCTTCTAGTTATTTTTACTCCCAAGAAGTATTTCAGTTGTCCCAAGTCTTTTGTATGAAACTTATTATGCAAGAAAGACTTGAGGAAGAGATTCCTGCATAATCACTCCCTGTGATAACAATGTCATCCACATATACAACAAGGAGAGATCTAGGTATTGATTGCTTGTAGAAGAAAGAATGATCACATTTGCTCTTTTTCAGCCTAAATTCTTGAATTGCTTCACTAAATTTACCAAACCAAGCTCGGGACTTTGCTTCAAGCCATATAAGGATTTCTTCAAGTGACAGACCTTGCCATACTTCCCCTGAGCAATAAAATCAGGTGGTTGCTCTATATATACCTCTTCCTGGAGATCACCATGAAGAAAAGCATTCTTAATATCCAATTGATGCAAAGGCCAATTCTGAGAAACAGCTAGAGAAATGAACAAGCGGACATAAGTAAGTTTGACAACCGGAGAGAAGGTGTCTAAATAATCCACTCCATAAGTCTGAGCATACCCCTTAGCCACAAGTCTGGCCTTAAGTCTTGCTACAGAGCCATCAGGATTAACTTTGACCATGAAGACCCAATTGCATCCCACTACTTTCTTTCCACTAGGTAAATTCACTAAATCCCAAGTGTGATTTTTTTTGTAAGGCATGTATTTTCTCAAGCATTGCGTCAGACCATCCAGGATGATTCAAAACCTCCTTCACCGTTTTGGGTATAGAAACAGAGTCTAGAGACACAATCAAAGATCTAGATGCAGGAGATAAGTGGTCATAGGAAACAAAATTAGCAATAGAATATGTGGATTTGCAAGTACATATACCTTTGCGAAGAGCAACTGAAAGGTCAAGGTTTTCTGGAGGGTCGGGTGGAGACAAATCTGATGATGAAGGAACTGATGATGAAGGAACTGATGACGAAGGAACTGGTGCAGAACATGTATCATTCATTTGTTGCCTCCGCGAGTGAATTTGAACAATTAATGGTCTTGCTAACACAGTTGGAGTAGGTGCTGAAGGCAGAATAGTGGATTGGTGCTCGATAGAACTAGGAGATAGAGGAACATCATCTCGTTTTTCCGTCAAAGTACGAGTAATCTGATATATACTAGCCATTCATCTTCCTCCCCCTGACTTGTAGAAATGGGAAGAGCATAGAAGAATGGTGTAGTATCTGAAAATACCACATCAGTTGACACAAAATATTTGCCAAGTTCAGTAGAATAACACCGATACCCCTTCTGAAGGCAAAAATAGCCAAGAAAAACACACATTAATGCCTTGGAATCCAACTTGGTAACAGATGGTCGAATATCTCGAACATAACATGTGCTTCCAAATACCTTAGGTTCCACCAGAAATAATGCCTTGTTTGGAAAAAGAACACTGTAAGGCGCATTACCACCAAGCACAGTAGTATGCATGCGATTAATCAGAAAGTAAGCCGTAGAGACCGCATCAACCCAGAATTATTTAGGAACCTTCATTTGGAACAAAAGTGCCCGAATTGTCTCAAGTAGATGCCTATTCTTCCTCTCAGCAACTCCATTTTGAGAGGGTGTATCAATACATGAAGACTGATGTAGTATACCATGTTGTCTCATGTATGACTGCAATAACTATGACATGTATTCTTTAGCATTATCACTCCATAGAATACGCACCAAAGCGTTAAATTGAGTTTTGACTTTAGCACAGGAGGCAAAAAAGTGAGTAAATACTTCAGATCGGCTCTTCATAAAGTAAATCCTAGTCATTCGAGAAAATCATCTACAAAGGTGACAAAATACTTATGCCCAATTTTGGACACAACGGGACATGGTCCCCATATATCAGAATGAACTAACTCACAAGCTGACTCAACTCGTTTATTAACCCTTAGACTTAACGAGATGCGATGGTGTTTTGCAAATCGACATGACTCACAATCCAATGAAGAAATATTCTGAAACTGAGGACAAAGCTTCTTCAACAAAGGCAGAGAGGGGTGTCCCAATCGACAATGTGCTTCAAAAGGAGACACAACACTAGAGCATGCAATAAACTATGGCTCCCATTCATCAAGGATATAGAGATCACCATATAAGTATCTTTTACCAATAACCTGTTTTGTTGTAAGATCTAGAAACAAACAATGATCGGGAAAGAATGCAACATAACAATTAAGATCTTTGGTGATTTTACTAATATAAATCAAGTTAAAGGCCAAGTTTGGTAGACTTAATACAGATGACAGGGTAATAGAGGAAGTTGGCTTAGCAGTCCCAGATCCAACACAGCTACAAGTTGATCCATCAGCTATAGTAACCGGAGAGAGTGCTTTATGTGAGCGAAAGCTAGAAAAAATATTTGGATTACCTGTCATGTGATATTTGGCACCTGAAGCGATCACCCATTTATTGGAAGAGGTGATAATACATGTTTCATCTAACCCAGCAAGGCAGTAACTGAAGAAGATTCCTTAACTGATTTATGATATTGAAGGAATTTTAGAAACTCATCCGAAACCAAGATTGTTGGACTAGGAGTTTTAGCATCATCATTTTTTCTTTGAATAACAGACCGATTAAATTAACAGAGGTCCCTAAAGCTAAAAGATACCAAAACAGATCTCTGGTAGACACGAAGTCAACAATTTATTTAATAGAACTCCATTCCAATAATCCGCTCAACCAAATCAGAGAACCAAACAAATCTGTCCCCGAATCAAATAAAATCACAGACCAACAAGGTTTCTGATAAGGAAAGACCCAATAGATAATATCAAGTCTCAAATTGTAACAAAGTTTATTACAAGGAAGACCCAACAAATACCAATCCACAAAACAAGCAATCAGATGCAAGAATATTGTTCCACGACTACTTCAGTATCCCAAAAATAAACCAAACAGTAGAAGAACTCAAACCTGACCAAAATTGGTGTAATACAACCTTGTTCGGATCTATTCTTCACGAAAATAAGGTTCTGTTATTAGAGGATAACCAACAATCGATCGAAAATAATCAAGTTGATCTTGGAGAACAAAGCTGGGCAGAGAAAGGACCACACACGCACCTCACGTGTCTGCCGAAAAGTTTTGGTCAACTCCGGCGAGACAAACTCAACTCCGTCGAAGCCACATATGTGGCTCTGATACCAAGTAAATAACAAGGTATGGAAGAATCAAATTGGTATATTATTTCATGTAGTGATATATATATATATATATATATATATATATATATATATATATATATATATATGGTGCTAACTAGGGAAAGAAATAAAAAAGATTCCTACAAATTTGCTATCTATATATAGGTTATGTACACTACTAAGAAATAATCTATGTTCATCGTGTAAAGTGTCTAGGTTCATTCTCTAACACTCCCCCTTAAACTAGAGCATATAGATTGATCATGCCCAACTTGTTACAAAGGTAATCAACTCGAGTGTCATTCAATGCTTTAGTGAACAAATCAACTAGCTGCTCTCCTGTCTTCACGTAGCCAGTGGAAATCAAGTTCTCCTGAATCTTCTC